GACCAACTCAAAACAAATTCAACCACAGCTAAAGCCAAAAAAAATACTGGCGCATTAATGTATTGATATTTTCGTATTCATTATTATTCTAGTTGTTATTACAGCAAATTCATCAACAGTTCATTAAAGTTTATTTCTTGAAATATAAAGGAGGATATGCATAAGGGGAAAAAACAGAATAACAGAATAACACAGGTCGAAGTGAACTAATATATATTCAGATGATTAAAGATCAAGATTTCGAAACCTTTTGCATATATACGACATTATATTCAAAAAAGGACCATGATATGAGATTTTCGAGATTCATCGAGTTATGCCACTTTTTTATTCAAAGAATCCTCACCATTATTGGTTAAACTCGCTCCATTGGCTTGGGCAACATGGCAGGGAGTCCCTTGGCGATAGAAATACAGGTGAGTCGCCAGCATCACTCGAATTTTTGCACAGGTTTACTTCTAGTTCGATCGAACTTCAGCATCGGCACTCGCAATCGAGCAATAAGCAACTTTCTTCCCCAGTTATACTTTTATCAATAATGAAATTTTGGAAATAAATGCTTTCGAATTTGCAATACACTACAGTTTTCAAAGAAGAGAATAATTTGCCTGTTATATAATTAGTTGGAAACTCCATTGAGGTCTTCTCGTAATGGAAACAGGTTATCCAAGGCACCATGTATACCATGTTATAAATTTTATATTTAACAACATAACAATAAATGGTATAATTTAGGACAACTTTGACGATGTCATTAGGTGGTCTATTGTCTGGAATAATTTACTCCATGAAACCTTACGAAATCTACGTCTTCAATCCCTCGCTCCATTTTATTGCATTTTCTTCGATTGTGACTTTATTGCTAGGCCAATGTCTTTCAATCATATTGTTGCGAAATTATTACATAAAAATATAAAGAAAACCAGAAATTCAGAAGTTTTATAAAATATGATCAAAACTAAAGCTGGAAAGCATGAAGGCTCATTTAGCCTTCTTAATCAACAATTGTTTTTTGCCTATATAATTCAACTGCTTCAACTATTTTGAAATAAATAAGCCTTAAATTCATCGAAGACTAAAGGTAAAACGCGATTAAGAAGGTTACGAAATTGTAAGGACTAGCACTGAAATTGATACCACCATAGTGATAAATATGGTAGTGAATACGATAACAAAAATGGATGTTAAATGGACTTCAACGAATTATTTGTAGAATAATAAATGAAATCAGTGAAATGAAAGTTATCAAAAAGAATTCTATTTTCATAATTTGCTATAACTTAATTTACTATCGATCAAAATCAGCAGAAATTTTTGAAATAGAAGTATAAAATTGATTAAAAATCGGAAATAATCTCTAAAATATTACTAGAATGGTTTAGCGCTCTAAATGTAGTACGGTTGATAAAAATTGTTGCTCTCTTTCGACCTATGTCGTGTCTCATGAATTATTCATTCGAAGCTCATTTATAAAAGGTTTAGTTCGAATCATAATTTATACTGCCAACTGTTTAGTCGCTTATGTATCACTACATCGCCATCATTGTATGTTTTTTTTTTTCACTTTATATTTCAACTATTTGAAATTTTAAAAATATTCAATTTTGTTCAAATATGGAGAAGTACAATTACTGATTTGCTTATTAATGAGGGGAATATATCTGAGTATTAAACATTTTCCTAAAAAATATACTTGGCACCTTCGTTTTTTTTCTGTTTCTAAATGACTTCTTTAGTAAATCGTCGCATTTACCAGCATTAAGCGAAATGCGTAAATTTGAAGCACATAAGCTAAATATACTGGAAGGATACCGCATGATTTCTTCATTGCTTTCCAATTACTTTACTTCTTCGTCTTCAATTCTCTGGAATTGATGAAGTTTTAATTTACTGAAATAGCAATAATCTTTGTATATTAAGGCAAACAGTAGTTTGGTGATATTTGAAATGGCCATTTGGCTAAATTTTTTTGAAAAAATCAGTCAAATTGTAAATAAGTCATGAAAAATATTATGTTTTAGATTTTCTTAATGAGCACTGATGAAAGCTTTTCTTTAAATATTCGCGTTCCACGCTCCTGTGGTGCAAACAAAGTCTATTATGAAGAATGTTTCTGGGATAGGTACACTGACCTAAGATTTAACTGCAAAAGAGTGACGGGCTGCAAATGCATCACTAATTTCTTTGAAAAGAACGGTGATTGCTTGTCGAATGGAACAAATCGTGCAGTTCGTCTTAACAGCCACGATTTCAATCATTACTTAAGAAACTATTGTAAGTAAATGTTTTGATATTTTCGTAAAAAATTACATCTAAAAAATAAATCGGAAAAGCAAATGTAATCGAAAAAAAATCAAAAATGGAAGAAAACTTATATATGTTCGAAATAGTGAAAATGAATTTTTCAGGAAAGGAGAATGTCCTTCAAAGAATGCAATCAACGCATAGCGCTCTGTAATCGAAACTTATCAAAATCTCTCGAAGTAAATTGATTTCGATTTTGTTTTTTTGGATAAATAAATACTTTTGTTTTGTTTCTCAATCGAGAAAAGCTCAAAATACTTTCAATTTCTGTCTTACACCACTATTACGCAGAAGAAGTTATAGAAAATCCAAAATGCTTTTTAGCGAATGGCACTATAATCTACGAAATGGTACTTTAATCTTCGGATAAATAAACAAAACGACACAATTTGTAATTTGCTAGATGCGAAATTTTAGAGTTTTTGCTTTCTAAAAAGAAATGCCTAATATAATTGGATTTTAAAATTGCCTGTTCAAAACGGAATTCGCATTTTACTAGTTTTTTTCATTTTCCTGTATATTTTAATATATTCGCTCGTATTTGATGTTTCAGGCTGAGCTACATTTCCATATATTAAATGGATCTATTTTATATTAATTTTAATATAATAGCTTTTATGAAATGTGGTTAACCAATGAAAACCATAATGGGCCGTTTAGCCATTCAAACCAATCGTTTTTTTGCTCGTAGAATTTTCTTTTTACTATTTCGAAATAATGTGTCCCAGAAGATTTGAAAAGCAAAAAATGCAAAATGTAACTGAAACATAAAACGTAAAATAACTTAACTTTGCATAACTTTGACAATAAAATTACTATAATTGATAGTAAATGTGATAATAAAAATGAATGCAAAGTCATTTACGCCAATGAAAAATCTGTGGATTAAAATCTGGAATTAATGAACTAAAAATTATCACAAAATGAATTCCATTTACATAGATTTTAACAGAAAATTTTGATTAGTGTTTTTTGATTTTAATAAAATAATAAAATTCATTTGTAATCAATAGAAATCGTAGAATTAAAGATGAAAAACGTGAATGAAAAAAGGGAAAATCTGCATTTTTTTCGGTGAATTGTGCATTGGCTTGAAGATTTATAGCGAGGAATTGCTCGTATAGCATTGGAATAATTATGGCTTGGAGCATCGCCAGAACAAGAAAATATTTGGGAAATATTTTGCAAAAATTGGTCAGCGATTAATCTGATGGATTAACGTTCGGAATACAATATGGCTGATAAAAATTATGTGCTATATTCGATTTAGCAATTCTTCACGGATTATTCGTTAGAGGAAAGTTAGGCCACACGGCTTCCTTTATAATAATTCGAATCATTATTTTTGATGCAAGTAGTATTTGTAAATAATTCAATTATTAGAATAAAAATATAGTCAAAATGAAAAAGCCAGAAAAAATAGTCGATAAAATTGAAAAAGAATCGAACAATAAATCTATGCAGAAACCTATGTTTTTGCTATAATTCTTTAAGGAGGTAAATTAATTAATTGTTAATTAATTAATTGAGGCATTATTTATGCAAATTCTTAGCAAAAGGGAAGTTTTCAGGAGGAGAAAATCTTTGAAAGTTATTACACAATCAATGCATAAGACTCCTTGATAAGAAGTCGTAGAATTAATGATGAAAAACGTGAATGAAAAAAGGAAAAATCTGCGTTTTATTCCGGTGAATTTATACTGATCTCTTAAAACAAACCAATGTTTTTTTACTCTATAAATGAACTGAAATGAATTTTATTACCTTTCTTAACAAAATTTGCTTCGAAGACAATTTTCTTTTTCATTTTCATAATTATTCTATCATCGTCCATAACTCATCTTAAACAAATGTACTCTCTGGTATGGCAAACAGAAATAATCACAAAAGATTAGAACGAAGTAATGCTGCTCCCAATTCCTAAGAAAGAACAGGACGCATTACGACAATTACCAAGGAATCAGCCTATTGGACTCCAATTTTGCTTTTTTTACTGCTAAATAGACTCGTGGCAGCACGAGATAGCAGAATGCGTCTTAATCAAACTGGATTCAGAGCGGGACGCGGTTGTTCTGACCAGGTATTTATCTAAGGAGGGTGCTGGAACATCGCTTCAAATACCAGCAACCCACCGTCACTTACTTTATCGAACTTGCAGTTCGATTCGATTGTTAGCAGTTCTCTGAAAAATGAATTTACGGTGCCCCAGAGAAAATCACTCGGCTTATAAAGACATTTTATTAGCCTTATTTTTACCTTGGCAAAGTGGCATATATATGAGGAACTGAATGACCCGAATGCCTCTTTTTCCCTATAGTATAAACTCTAAGATAGACTTGGTAACTTGCATCGCTTGTCGGCACTCAAGAGGTGTACAAATCAGTCCAGAGCATTACAAACCTTGTATACGCTGATGATATAGTCCTTTTTGCCGATAATCAAACAATATGTCAAAACTGGAGCGAGAATTGAACTAAAAATTAATGCTAATAAAATGAAAGTGTCTTATAAACAAGATGCTGATAAAATATTTATTTTTATCAATTCATTGCCGATTGAGGAATTTCTCGACTTTAAATATCTCGGATCCACTCTAATCCCAAATTGCCATGCAAAAAATGAAATTACAATTCGGAACCCTTATGGAACCACCATGAAGACGAAAAGTCCATGTAATTGCAATTCCCCTGAGCTATATGGCTGCAAAACATGGTAGTATGATCAGGGAAGTTTTTGAACGTATAGGGAAACCAACGATATATAAATGGCTTCTATTACTATTAGCGATGGCGTCGAACGAGCAGCTTGGAGAAATGGTATCCTTGCCAGTGAAGCCAGTAATGGTGCGAGCTGTTACAAAGATCAAGAAGATTCAAGAAGATTTATTCCACACACTTATTTGTTTGTATACAAAAGAACTGATACAAGATAAAAGTATAATGCGTTCATTATCGAATGGGTTTGAATATACGAATTGCGGATAAATATAATGACGAAATTTACAATTTGATAAGTGAAATTCATTCTGTAAAATGCAGGAAATAATTGGATTATTGAAATTTTATAACTGCTTATTCTAAACGAAATTTTTCTAGATTTCCTAAATTTGAGCGGTCGGTTCGTTCGTAATTTAATAAATAGGAAAATGACGAAGTTTGGTGGATGAAATTCTTATATTTCTTAAAGAAAACACAAGGAATAAGTGGATTTCGAAATTGCATGCGAAATTTTGCATTTGGCTTTTCATGAGAGCCGATGTCGTCATAATTGTCAACCGTCAGTAAAAATGATTACAAGGATCATTAGAGCATTCTAGATGTGTGATGATGTGCTTTGAAATGACTCTGGAGTTGCACATTTCTTGAGTCCAAAACATGATGACCATTATCCAATTTAGCATCTAATTGAATATAAGGATGCCGCCTTAGACACTAGTTCTTATTTCGAAAGAGTCTGTTCTCCTATGTCTACAGGCCAATATCGATGCCTTAATGAGGCGAATTATCCACTCTGGAACACCGTCACATTCCATCATCTTCCAAGGCTTTGCTTTTCCAAATGGATCGAAGGCAGCTGCAAAATCGATGATGGTCAGTTGCTGTTATTTGAAGCAATGATCCTGTTGTTTCATGCAGTCACAAGTCTATTGAGTAAAAAGGAACCAAACATTTTCAATGAAACGTAGGTTGATTCCTTGATAATTGTCGCAATGTGTAATTGTTACCTTTCTTGGGAATTGAGAGCAAAATTGCTGTACTCCAGTTATTTTGTAATATTTCTTTTTTCCATACGAAAGAATACATTTGTGTATATTCTCCCTGGCATGTGCTGTAGAAAATTTAAGAATTTGAGGAACTTGAAAACTTAATGGTCACATTTTTTTGGAGAAACCTTTCTTGTAAACTTTTTGAATATTTATGGTGTACTAATAATGAAATAATCGATAATGAATTCAACCTTTCATTCGGCCATATATTGAAAAAGCAAGAGAAAAGTATGAAAGAAAATATATGCGGTATGAAAGGTGAATTCGAAAACGCCAACCAATGTTTACTAAAATTTTGTATTTTCAAATTTTTATTTTTTAAAACATCTCTCACCATTGCTGACTAGACTTCTTCCTACCACATTTGAAAAATATGCCATGTATGATTGAAATACAGGTGAGTCGCCAGCATAACCTAGATTTTTTCGATAGGTTTAGTCCAGCTGGAGTAGAGCCTCAACAACAGCGCTCTGAAATGAGCAGCTACCGATTGAGTCTTTCTAATAAACTTTATTTGATAAATAAAGTTTCATTCTAGTATTTTTTTTGAAGAGTTCCCACCATTACTGGTTAAACTCGCTCCACTAGCTTGTCGTAATTGAGCAATATGCCAAGGAGTCTCTTGGCGATAGAAATAAAGGTGAGTCGCTAGCATCACCTGGATTTTTGCACAGGTTTACTCCCGCAGCGAGTTGAACCTCAGCATCGGCACTCCAAATGGAGCAACAGCCCACTGAGCCATTCTATCCCCAATTCATTCTATCAATTCATTCTGGTAATATAGAAATTTGTTTAAAAAGCGTCTCGAATAATATATGCACAAATTTTCATCAGATAATATTCGGTCGGATTGACGTCTGACTTTGAAAGTTTGATTTTCTATGTTTATCACTAGCTTAAAAATTCCAGAAAATTTGTTTTGCCGTAGCTTGCAAAGCGAAGATTATTATGAAAATTAAACAATCGTAATAAAATACTTTACAAAGTGGTCTGAGAAAGTGTCCACCATTCTTCGCATCGATATTTAGTCGTTTAGTTGGATTCGGAAAGCATTTCCCGTTCTCTTCGAAAAAATTGAGAATGCACTTGCATTCCGATGTTCTTATACATCCATATCTTGTATTGGTGTATATGTCTCACTGGCAATACACATAATAAACTTTGTTTTCGCCACAAGGGCGAGGAAGGCCTATTTGCAGTGACGCCTCTTGCGATTTGCCTGCATGTATTAGAAGAAACTAAAAAAAGCAAAAACTAATAAAGATAAAAATAATACAATTTGCTCACATTCTGTAAAGCTTTTTAAAATTTGGGAACAATCGCAACTGAGAAGTGCTAGAAGAAATTTTTTTTCCAGCAATAATGACAATATAATTCGATCATAATAATTCGATTATTTATAATTGAACTGAAAGTAATGTGGTCGAAATGAGAAGTATTTTGAGAGGTAAAGGGAAATGTAATACATCCACAGAATGTCTGAAAAGGGAAAAAAAATTTCGGATTGCTACCGTCCCACAAATCCGAATAATTTTCGTCAAACATTTCGTATTCAGAAATTTGTTTGAATAAAATTTTACCATTTCTTTTTACAGAAAAATAAATTGCAAAGGTAGCAATGTAATTGTTGAAATTCGGCGAACAAATGAACTATTAGCAAATTCAGTTTAATGAAGATGAAGAGAGTAATAAATTTCTAATATTTCCACGTCACTTGCTACGTTTGCGGTAAAAAGCATGCATAACAAAAATGTGGGTTATTACTGCGAACTGAGCTAGAAGTATTCCAATGTATTCTAAATGCAATGCCCGAAAGTATCAAAAATCTCATTGCAAAGTTCTATCATTCCGTAGCCAAAGTTTCATTTAATCTCCATGTTCCCCTAATTTTTAAGCCAACGCTATTTAATTCTATTGAATTATGTAAAATTGCTATTTTTTGATTTTATAACTTTCAATAAATTTATAATTTTTCATTGACGTGGGAGTTTCATAATTAATATCATTATTTCCCGAAATTCATCGTAAACACTATTTACTGAATTCTTCTAATGTCACATCCATTGCTCGTATAAAGAGTAATTTGCCTGTCATATAGCCAGTTGTCTACCCGTTAAGATTCTCCTGCAGTGTAAATAGGTTATCCGTTCTACCATGAGACCTTATTATCTGTATAACAAATACGATTGCATAAGTGATACTGTGCTATTGCTATTTTTCACATAAAATGATATTTGATATGATATTTGACATAATATATTTTATCAAAGAAATTTATGAATTTAGAGTGAATTATCACGAGTGAATCATTCATTTGGCCAATAGTTAATTTTATTAGCTATTTATTTTCAATGATGAAATTTTCACCGTAATAATGAGCTATATTTCTTCCATGCATCGCCATTTATTTCTATGAACTGCTTTATTTCTATCATTAATATATAATGAAATTAAATTATGCGAAAAATATTTTGGCTAATTCCACTGGCATATTCGAAGAGATATGGTTGCAAGAGGTGCCTGCAGCTTCACTCATATTACCTGGTAAGGCGATGAACCTATGATGCGAATCTGAAGTATAAATACTAAAGCATAAGGTATAAAGCATTAACAATTGATCCATTCCAATGAGGAGTTTAAAATTCTCTTTTGAGTGAGAAAATAGGAAGGGAAGTTATGAATAAGGAGTAGAAACAGAAGAAGAAAAGAGAGAAACACTAATTTATGAAAGTCATTCATGAAAGCAATATTTTGCACGAAAGCAACGAGTGAAATATGCGTTGGCTTAATTTTTCAAACAGCATTTAATGGAATGAAAAAGCGAAAAATGAGACGTTTCAGCGTTAGGCGAATGCTTTGGAAGAAATTACACCTTTACCTGCAGGAAATGCAGTAATGTTTAGATAAAAAGTTTTCGAATTTCGAAAGGCGAGTAGATTATTCTGAAAAAAATCGAATAAAGAGATTCAACGTCAAGAAAATGCCAGCAATAAATCCACTTTATTGAATGAATACATTTAACGAAATCGCTTTAGAATAAATGTTATGACTATCTGATTCAGGTTCGCAGTAGCTGCCAATATTCATAATGGTCGCTCGGCCACAAACTTGGAAAATTCTAAGAATTTTTTTTAGATTTCTGTAATAAGCTGTGACGAATCGCACAGCAAGGTTTATTTTTAAATATACTGGCAGAGCACTTGCGGCGTCAACAAAGTCTATCATGAAAATTATATACGGGGGAATTTTCGATATTTTAACTGATTAACTAAAAGGTTGTCAGTGGGCATTTACCTATTGAATTTCTTCGAAGAAAAAGGGATTAGCTACCCGAATCCAACAACTCGCGCTCGTCGTCTTCGCAAATATACTTTCAATTCAAACTGTAAATAATTTTATCGCAAACGAATTGTTAAACATATTTTAAAAAATTTCAATTAGAAAAACAATACGGAAACGCCAATATTATTTGGAAAAGAATTTAAAAATCGTTGAAAATTCCATAAGAAAACCCTTAGGCTTGCAAAATTTCTTTAAGGAGATAAAATTGACGAAGGAGAATATATTTAAATATTTTAAATATATTCAAGTGAAGCATTTAAAATATTATTAAATTATCAATAAAAATGAAATTTTCAGAAAAAGTAATAATTTTCCAAAGTTATTATGCAATCGCCATGCGATACAGAACTCTTTTTTTTGATATTTAAAAATTTTATTTATTGTTTATTTGTTTCTGAAAAATACTTCTCAGATATATTTCTGCTTCAATTTCGTTCACACTATTCTTAAAACGGAGAGTTTAAAAAAATGAATGCGAATCTAATGCGTTCACTGGTGAATGGTACTTGAACTGCGAGCTCCATGTCAATGAAATAACGCAATTTGTGATTTGTTAGGGTGCATTTCTCATTTTTCTCAGTGAAAATAGAGTAAAACAATTTTAAAACGAAAAATTCTGCATTTCACAAAATGAAACCTCTTTTTCCTTTAACATTTTCAAATCAAGTGAATAATCGAAGAATTTCAGAATATTTTGCATCGATTCTCTCCATCGCTTGCAGTTCGATGAATTAAATAAGAACCAATCTTTAAGTAGAAAATTTTACATGGTTATGCCATGTTAGATTGTTGCAAATATATTTAATCTGAATATAAATTAATCAAATTATCGATATTAATATTATATTTATAATATTATAATATTAATATTGATATTAATATTAATATAATATTAATATAATAATATTAATATTTTAATTTTTGGTTAAATTTAAATTTGTGCCTAAAGATTAAATTTTTTAAATCGAATTTACAGAACTCAATAAAGCGTCATGATTTTTCCATTTGTATTGTTATTTACCGCATTAATTTGTTGAATAATATATTATATTATGTATATCATATTTAACTATTTTTAAAATGATTACAATGATATGATATGATATCGTCTGCGGTATTGTTCAAAAGCATTTACATAAACCAGCTCGGGACGACTTACCTGTATTTCTATCACCAAGGGACTCCCTTGCTCAGTGTGACGAGCCAGTGGGGCGAATTTAACCAGTAATGGTGACGATTCTTAAAAAAAAACATAAATCAGCAAGTTTGAAATCTTGATTTTAGCATATAATTTATAAATGAGGCCTGTATTCAGCAGGATTGGTGTTAAGATTTAGCTTGCTTTCCCATTTCAAATTTTTCTTTGCACCACTCTTATTGCTATTAAAGCAAGCGAATGGCGCTTCTTGCCACGCTCTGCGATTCTGAAATAAATAAATAGAAAGACAGATACAGAAATTTAAGCAGAAATTTTCAAATGAATATTTATTAAAAGCCGTTGAGTATTCAAGAAATTACACATATCTCCAATATTTTTAACAAAAATAAAAGCAGGAAAATTTGTGAACTGAAAATATCACTGCAATACTACCGCATTAAATAAAACCTTTGCTTTTATCGACAAGTGTACAAGTTTTTCGACATTTATTTTCTTGTGCTTAACTTTCTGAGAAAATTTTTCCCAACTTTTTATACCAAGTCGGGAAAAACTGTGGAATAGTTTGCGTTGGCAAAGCACTGCGGCAAATAGTCCACTGAGTCGTCCCTAAATTACTTTGATGCGATTTTTTTCCAACTTAATTTAATATTTTAAAAGCTGCTTAGTTAGTAGTATAATTTGTTAATGAAGTTGCCTTAAATTTTCATGAAAAATGAAGAATTTCAGAAAAGCAGCAAAATGCGTGAAAGGTTGGAATATTTTCGTTTATAAAAATTAAATTTGCCATAAAAATTATAATAAAAAATTGCAATAGTGAAATGTAATAGTAATTGTAATTGATAGAAAGTATAAAAATGAATGTAAAAAATATTTAGGATTGAATTATTAGTGGAATAAATTACGGAAGAAGTTTGTTTAAATCGCATAAATTTTAATAAATTCAAATTCAAAGAAATTATCGTTTAGTGAAATATTTCGTTTTAATAAATCATTAAAATTCAAGCGAAATTAATAGAATTATATAGAATTAACGAAAAAAACGGAAACAAAAAGGAGAATTTCGTTTGTTTAGTGATGAATGTGGTAGAAATTTACGGGGAAGAGAATTTATAAGGTAATTTACGAGGAAAATTCAAAAGTTTCTCAAAGATCAAGTCATTGCCGCCAAACTACGCTTCAAAATTTCTAGATCTGTGAGTGCAGCTTCAGTAAATATATTTGAATAAAGTTAGAACAAAAATGAACCTTTGGTTGCTTCGATCGCATAAGTTTTTTCGATTCCTGATGACGCTGGCGACGCACCTGTATTTCTATTGCCAAGGGATTCTCTGGCATATTGCCCAATGCGACAAGCCAGCGGGGCTAGTTTAACCAATAATGGTGAGGATTCTTTAAAAAAAAAAGTTCTTTCGATTAGTCAGTGAAATTTCGGAAAATCCAACTTATCCATATCCACTTTTGCTTAAATTTCTCAAGTTGGCAGGTGCCTCTTTTCAAAGATTTCAGCTCCTTCTAATAGCCAGCGAAACATAGGCGAACCTAAGTGTGCAAACGCGAATTATTGTTCCAATAAATGGAATGCAAAAGAAACGTGAAATCCAATCATGATTGATGGAAAGAAATGAAAAAATATCGGGGAAATATTTTCAAAAAATCCTCAACAGAGATCGATCGAATGGATTAGTGTTTCGATTAAAACTGATTTTACCATTTGCGCCCCTCATCAATTATTCATTAGAATAAAGTTTCATATAAAAAGAACTAAATTTAGTGTGAAGTAGTGTGAATTAAAACTAGCAGTTATGTTGCGCTACATCGCTGTCCTTGTAAGTCTTTTTCCGTTGTTAAATTTCTTTAAAATTTGAAATTTTTAAAATATTTAATAATGTAAGTATGGAGAAAAATAACGACCGTGGATAATTAGGATTTGGCTCGTACAAGGATAAAGCGTGTTCGTACTACTGCGGTTCTTCTATTCTCATCCCTCAGCGATTTCCTGGGAAATTACCTCATTCTAATAGATAAGGATGAGCGCTAATCACAAATTTATTTATTAGGCTAAACACGTTGGAAATATTCTATATAATTGGTTGTCTCTTGCTATTTTTATTTCGTTTTCATTTTCCTTATCATTTGTGAGAATGAGCGTTATAGAATGAATGAAATGACCGTATTCCTTATCCGATTGTGGTCCGCAGCAACGTGCCAATAATTAAAATGATCATTTGGCCAGATTGCTTGAGAAGTGCAGGAAATTAGGTATGATCGAATTAAGGCTTGAAAAATTTCAGATTTTCCTAGTAAGCCATGTTGAATTGCAAAGCGCTATTTTAATTTTGCCGGTAGAGCGCTATTGCGGTTTGAACAAAGTCTATTATGAAAATTGCATATGGGACACATACACCAATCTGAGATTTGCCTGTACACCATTGACGACTTGCAAATGTATCGCAAATTTCTTCGAAGAGAATGGGAATTGTTTACCAATTCCAACAACTCGCGGTCATCGTCTTAGCAGTCAAGATGTCAATCACTACTTTAGATCCGATTGTAAGTAATTTTATTAAATGAATTATTTCGAAACCTATGCATTTACAAGAGTTCTTTAAGGTGGCAGAAAGTTCTATAAATGTTCAAAGATGTTAATTTTTAAAATTTTAATAAAACATGAAATTTTCAGGAAAAGGAGCAAAATTTTTATGCAATCGACGCATAACATTCTGTGATAAAAATCTTAATAAAATCTCTGTAATGCCGAATTATATACATCGATATATGTGATATATACCGATTCGAACTGTTTTTTTTCAAACCGTTGAATAAATAATTTCTTAATGAAAAAACATCTAAACTAAACACTTTCAATTTCATACTTTTTTTTTAAAATAAAAGTTGGAAAATTGAAAATCTAATACGCGCATTAACAAGTAGTAAATCTGCAAACATGGCTTATGACCACTTTGAAGGTGAGAGGCAGCAATATCTCAATTATATGCCTCAACTTTGTCTGACAGCGATCGTGATAGAGATAAGTTCTATGTAGAACTTCAGTTATATCGCTACGGAGCATCTCTACCGAAAAGTGACATGACCATAGCCGGAAGTAATGAAATCGCTGTGATGAATAGATAAATATGGTATCATCGAAAAACGGTGGACCAGTGGGGAACACTTTTTTCGATATGCCAAAGATCACAAACTTTTTATTATTAATAATACTTCCCGTATCGTAGAAGAATCGCATTTAAGTGGCCGCCTTTCATGCGTATAACCAACACTGCAGGTTGATTATACCTTAGCCAGTCGTCGTTGGAAGAGTTCCTTACTTGATCTCGTTCCGATACTGTGCCCTTTTCGTTTTAATATTATCCTATTTTCTTTTCGCCTTTTCAATATTCCTCGTCAGTATCATAACAAACAAACTGTTAGATGCATATCTTCAAGTATTGCATACTTTTGGAGACTACGAGCTTAAATCGCACAGATCGCTGAA